ACACACACACACACACACACACACAGTGAGTTGAGGGCGACACAGAGCCGTCTCAGTGCGGCGTCAAAGAGCCCAGTGTGTGCGGGACATTTACATTCAGAGGAGGAGGATTCACGCCGCATCAAACTGTCTGTGTCACAAATACTGCATTTACAGCGTCGCGTTTACTCCGATTTCAACACCAGACACACTCACGCGCCTCGAGGTGGACCGAAAATGTCCCGCAGCGCGACTTTAAACAGCTTTAGTTTATATTTATTCAATTACAGCCGGTTTTATCGCTCAAAAATCCTAGAAAAAACAGACGTTCCCAGTGTGAGCAGCATCGCCTCTCCACAGATCTGACCTGTAACATGGTCCGCTTTGGTTCTCCGTGAAGATAGAAAGGTTTAAAGCTGTACCGTGAAACGCTCCGCCAGAAAAGTTACACAATGCGCCTTTAACTGTTAACGCACACTTAGATCACCGTGTCGCCTTTTATTGTTTTGAAAATATTCGCAGAAAATAACGTTTTGTAATGATTGATTAGTTTTATTTTCAGAGCGTGGGCGATGGGAGCCTCGTACCAGATCGTACTGTTATCCGTAACCAGCTGTTTATAGAGAACCTGTAGGTCATGTCACGGTCTTGCCCTGATCCACTTCCGCCATCGACCGAACATTGTAAAGTTTAGCACATTCTAGAGTAGATCCTTTAATACAGGGGTGCTCAATATGTCGATCGCGATCTACCAGTCGATCGCCAAGGTCGTGTGGGTAGATCTCCGTGTCTCGTCTCGGACTCGATCGCGTTTGGACTCGGTCTTGTCTCTCACTCGAGGTCTGACACTCAACAAGTGTGATCATATTTCATTCCGGCCGCTGCTGTTGGTAATAAACTTGTAGCGGGTGCAGGAGCGTGTGGGGCGTCTCAGTGCAGCCTGTGCGCTCATTTGAAACCCGCGGAGACTCTACGGCGCATCACAAACACACACGCTCCCTATGCACGGCTCGTCTGCGACAGCGTGTGCCCTCGTGTACCAGCGTGCGTCACAGGGCAGGTTCAACTTCCTAAACTGGAAGGAATCTCCAAGAATCACCTCAGTTTGTCTTCACTCCTTTTCCCCCTTCTCTTCTTCTTCTTTCAGCGACCTCAAAAATGGACTTTCTTTCGCGGCGAACTGGTCGTGGATTCTCATCCGCCATCGCGACAAACCTTGTGCGAACTGCGAGGAAGCGACGGTTTGAAAAAGCCTCAAAGAACCACCGCATAAACCACGTAATCCCAACGCGCCGACGAGTCAGTTACACTAGAAACATAGGGAGTTTGATTGACAGCCAATAGAAAATGAGGCAGCCTCGTTTTCTATTGGCTGATGTTTATCTGGCCTCAACACGTCCACAGTTGATAGATTTTCATTCTTAATTCTTCATTACAAAGCTGCTGCGTCTCTGTAACGGTATTTTAAACTTTCATTTACAATTTGAAACTGAAAAAAAAATCCTCCATACAACCTTTAACAAACGGGATCCCGCTTTGATGGAGCTTTGGCGTTGACTTTTTAAAATTCGTAACCGAGGCTGAGCGAGGGATCGGGGTTTTGCTTCGTCGGCGTCACGTGACTGCAGGAGCTCAAAAACACCGTTCTTACTGCGAGCGCGAAGATAAACAACACACGGATACACGAAAACACACTTTATTATTTATACACAAATTATATACATACTCAGCTTTATTTATACTGCATTTGTAGGGAGTATTATAGTTCAGCGAAGGATAAACCTGTTACAGCATTTTGTACTTCACAAATATACACAACAGACACGTTTAAAGCCGCTCCCTGTAACTTTTCCTCTGCTCGTCTTCATGGAGATGTACAGTAATTGTTTTAGTCCTGGTTTAGTCCTGGTTTAAACCTAGTTTAGTCCTGGTTTATTTCTGGTTTAGTACTGTTTTAGTCCTGGTTTAGACCTGGTTTAGTTCTAGTTTACATGTGGTTTTGTCCTGGTTTAGTCCTGGTTTAGACCTAGTTCAGTCCTGGTTTAGTCCTGGTTTAGTCCTAGTTTTATTTCTGGTTTAGTCCTGGTTTAGTTCTAGTTTAGTCCTGGTTTAGACCTGGTTTAGTCCTGGTTCAGTCCTGGTTTAGTCCTGGTTTAAACCTAGTTTAGTCCTGGTTTAGTTCTGCTTTAGTTCTGTTTTAGTCCTGGTTTAGACCTGGTTTAGTCCTGGTTTAGTCCTGGTTCAGTCCTGATTTAGTCCTGGTTTAAACCTAGTTTAGTCCTGGTTTAGTTCTGCTTTAGTTCTGGTTTAGTCCTGGTTTAGACCTGGTTCCGTCCTGGTTCAGTCCTAGTTTAGTCCTGATTTAGACCTGGTTCCGTCCTGGTTTAGTCCTGTTGTAGTCCTGGTTTAGTCCTGATTTAGACCTGGTTCCGTCCTGGTTTAGTCCTGGTTTAGTCCTAGTTTTATTTCTGGTTTAGTCCTGGTTTAGTCCTGTTTTAGTTTGTTTTTCCTGTGCTCGTCTCCATGGAGATGTACAGTAATCGCTTTAGTCCTGGAATGTTCCACAGTGTTTAACTAAGATCACAAGACACTGTCCAGATCTGTGGAGAGGCGAGCCCACTCTCAGTCAGAAAACATGAGCTGAAAAGAAGAAAAAGAGTTTAAAAAAATATTATCGGTAAAATAAAATACTCTGAGAAAAAAAAAGTGTGGATAAAATTATTATTAGTATTTTATTTTATTATTAGTATTTTTTTTTTTTTGCGTAATTATGATTTTCACTGGGTCACCTTAAGGAAATAAAAATAAAAATTACAAATAAAATAAAATAAAATAAAATGCACGTGCTTTAAGTCTACAAAAATACGTAATTAACTGATTAAATGCAACAAGTACAAGTGTAATGCCGTGTTGCGGAACATTCCAGGCAAAGTGAAACATCTCCACGGAGACAAGCAGGCGGCAGATCCTCCAGAAAACCAGAAAAGTTACATAGTGCATCTTTAAGTCGCAAAACAAGAGTCGTGGAGAAGAATAAACTCCTCACAGCATTTAGAAAACAACTATTTATCTTGATTTTATTTTATTTTTTTAATGTTTATTCTGAATGCCCTTTTCTTCAACAGTCGCCACGTTTACATGATGTTTTTTTAATTCCGAATTAATAGTTCTGAATTAATACAGGGCTCCCAAGGTCATGGAAATCCTGGAAAAGTCATGGAATTTTTGTATCTCTTTCGCGCAGCTCCAGCGTTCTGTGAAGTTCTCATTAAAACTATTCTGATTATTTGTGAACGTCTGGGCCTTTTGTTTAAAAGAGACGACGATAAACGCACTGACAGGATTTAGAATGTTAAAAAACGATAATCCCAAACCATAAAGTGAGTGGAAAGAGTTAATGTTTCATGTTTAACACTAAAACTATGATCCATTCTGCACATGTAGGTCACGGAAAATTCACTTTAGGGTCGTGAAAAAGTTTCGTTTCTGTAAAATGTAAACAAATGTGCGCGAAGCTGTGTGGAGAGGGAAGGGTTTTGGACACGGAAACGACGCGTTGTTTCCGATACGCTGATTCATTTCTGTGTGAACGTAACCTAACGTGTCGGGGAAGGTTCTGATTGGACACAGACGCCAACGGATTTACGTCTTTGGGAAGAAAAACACACACTTGAGCTGCTCCCGGCTTTTCTGTCGTCTCGGTTTGTCGTTGCTCCACGGACACAAACACCATCCAAACTTTTCCCGCAGTGATTCCGATGATAATTGTGAAGCAGCGGCTGGAGAATTGTCTCGTCAGGCTTTACGTCCGTCGGCCGAGGAGCAGAAGGGAGGAGTGTCGGAGAAGGAGGAAGAAGACAAAGTGAGTGTGAGGCTGTTCTACCTCAGCCCACTCCCGCATCCCTCTCACAAATCCAAAGAGACGTGGAGGAAAGTCCCAAGACACGACTGGTGGAGAATCCTGTGTCGTTCGTTCATTCGTTTTTCAATACAAAACCAAAAAGAAGAAAACAAAAAAACAACAGTTTTCTTCATTTTTTGTCTCCAAAACCAAAATGAAAAAACAGATAATGATTTGATTTTTCAGTTTTCGATTTTGTGTTTAAATGAAGAATGGAAAAAACGGATAACGGTCGTTTACGTGACTTCCGTGACTGCGATGCTGGATTTTTGCGCTGCATACGGACTGAACCAGGACTGATCCAGGTCCGGGACCAGACCGAGACTGAGGCCGAGACCAGACCGGGACCAGACCGAGACTGAGGCCGAGACCAGACCGGGACCAGACCGAGACTGAGGCCGAGACCAGACCGGAGGCTCAGAGCCCACGGCAGGAGCTCGAAGCTGAGGCTCGAACCCTGCAGAGGCTCGGAGTCAAAGTTCGGTCCCGCTCTGGTCCCGGACCTGGATCAGTCCCGGTTCAGTCCGTATGCAGCGCAAAAGTCCAGCATCGCAGTCACGCGGAAGTCACGTAAACGGCCGTTATCCATTTTTTCCATTCTTCATTTAAACAAAAAATCGAAAACTGAAAAAACGAATCATTATACATTTTTTCATTTTGGTTTTGGAGACAAATAAAGAAGGAAACTGTTGTTTTTTTTCAATTTCTTATTTTTGGTTTTACGAGCACGCGCCAAAGCACCCACATTATTTTGAACAAGAATAAACGAGAAACATGATCCAAGAGTAAATTCATTCAGCTTTAAAATCGGAATAAAACACACTTTTTAATTCCGGATAATCGTTTTCATTAAGAATTAAGAATCAAGTGTTTATATGGACTTTTTAAAGCAGAATTCGGAATTAAATCTCTCATGTGAACGTGGCAAATCAGACCATAAACAATGCCGCTTCAGCCACAGCATCGAAGTGTCTTGCCCAGAGACACAATCTCAGTATGTTTTATCAGCAAGGTTCAACCAGCAACCCTCTGCCGGCCAAACATTTCCTGTATTTCCTGTGCCGCTGTTCCATCGTATTTTAGTGGTTTTTTCGGCGCGTAAAGTCAAAAATCACGGTCTTTAAACCACCTGCAGATACGTGGACCTGAAGTCCGTCCCGAGCGCGTTCTTGGCGTTGCATTTGTAGATCCCGGAGTTCGTGAGGACTGGGTTTTGAATGACCAGACTGCCCTCGTCCGTCATGTGCACGCCGCCCTGCACCGTGTACCGGTTGTGCGGGAAAATGGTGGTTCTGCCCGGCAACGTCCAGGAAATCTCCGGTGTGGGGATGCCGGAGGCGACGCAGCTCAGGCTCACCGGGGTCCCCCTGGCGACGCGCGTGATGGCGTTCAGGGCGCTGGCGATCCGGGGCGGGTGCACGGTCACGGTGACGGGGAAGGAGACGGTGGCGGTGCCGTACGGGTTCGACGCCCGGCACGTGTAGGTCCCTTTGTCGAACGTGGCCACGTGTCGGACCAGGAGCGTCCCGTTGGTGAAGATGGTCACTCGGCTGATGGTCTGGGGCGTGTCCAGGATCACGCCGTTGGGTAAAGTCCAGGACACGGAGGGGAGGGGCCAGCCGTCGGAGGAGCACGGCAGGAACAGGGACTGGCCGTACGTGATCTTCAACCCGCCTGAAGAACAGAGAGAGATCAGTATACAAAAAGAAAAAAAAGATTCCGTGTAGGCGAGTTTCATTGTTGACAAAAGCGCGCGTTGCATGCTGGGAATTATTTTGGTCGGCGGCAAGAAACACTAATTCAACATGACGGACTGTAACAAACAGGCTGGTTTGTTACCCCAGAACCACACTTAGCACCTTCACCCTTCACTTTAAAACACTGCACTTTCCTTGCACACAGCACTTTTAACATATTTGCACATCACAAAATAAATTGCACACAATTGGTTTTAAAAAATATTTATTGTCTTTCCTTTAACCATTTTTTATTCCTGAGGCACAGCGCTTTAATTGGAAGTTGCTTGTCCCTGGAGGAAAAGGGAGACAATAACAAATTACATTTTAAATTGACTTTGTGCAATAAATATGGTGCAATATCTGTTTTAGAATGTTTTAAGTGTTGATGTGTTTAGTGTATTTTATTGTGTTTTAATGAACGGTGGATCTGCTTTTACTTACCTCCCCTTTTTATCTTCTGTCCAGGTGGGAAAAGAGTCCCCCGGAAACGAGCTCCCTCTTTTATGGTTCCGGGCTGGACCACGTGTAACATTTTGTACAGGGGTTTTAGGTTTGGTGTTTTATTGGTTTATGGGTTTTAACATTTAATTGGTGTAATGGTTTTAGGGTTTTATGTATATAGTTGGTGGTTTTAATAGTTATCTGGGTTTTGGGTTGTTTTATGGAGGTTTAGGTTTTAGTTTTACGCTAATGATAATTTTAACCATCCCTGTTTTAGCATAGTGGTTTTATCCAATCAGTAGGACCGGCATAAAAGGCGCCTTCAAAGATCAGTCTGTGTTCTGCTGCTGGAGAGGAAACTGCTGCCTGCCTCCGTTTTGCACCCTGCACTTTTTGCACTTGCACTTTTGTAATCATTGAAAAAACAAAAGTAAACTGTGGACCACAAGTACCGGTCTGTGTCTGGATTTGTTTTTTACCTTGCTCACTGAACCCCAAGCCGCTCACGGTCAACCGACGTTACACGGACGGAGTGAGAAAGCACGTAAAGGGTATTGATCCCGGTTATTTCTCCACTCTAACGGCAGAGGACCCAAGACCATTTGACCAGAAGTGCCATTTCATTGGTACTTCTGTGTTACCAAACAAAGATGGAGTGTCTAATTATATTTTTTATTTGTCCTGTAGTTTTCACGGCGTTTTTTAAGGCTAATAATTGCGCCAGTACTGAAGAACCGTGTGCAGTGTTGCCATGGAGGAGCGACACTAACCAAACTACAAAATGACAACATCGTAAACATGTCAAATCTCCTTTAAACCTGGTTAAACTCTCACCTGCTGCTCCTCTGATGAGCGGTTTGCGTCCGGCCTCCAGAGCGTACCGTTTCTCCGCTTGCCCCGCCACGTTTTTGGCCAAACACCGGTACACTCCTTTGTCGCTCTGCGCCGGCTGCGAGATCCTCAGACTCCCGTCACTCGAGTGATGGTGGAACCTCTGCAGCCGGACACCAGGGGGCAGCGCCGTCCCGTTCGGAAGCAGCCACACGAACTCCGGGCTGGGCTTCCCTCGGGCCGGACACTCCAGCACCGCCTCCCCGCCGCCGTCCTGCTTGATCGGGATGATCTCGATGTTCGGGAACGCGAAGCTCGGTTTCTCGGCGATCGACGCGACCTCCACTTCCACCGTCAGCGTCGATTCCCCGAGCAGATTTTTGGCGAAACACGAATAGCGTCCTTCGTCGTTTTTCCGTACCCCGCGCAATTCCAAACTTCCATTTCTGTGAACTTGAAAACGCCCTCCCAGGTACCCAACCGCGAACGACTGCGCGTAAGGAGTCACCCACCAAACCCTCGGCTCGGGTTTCGCTTCAACTTTACAGTCTAGAAGCGCCGTTTGGTAATTCACGGCCATGACTTTACCGTAACTTTTCCCCTTTTGACCGTTTATGCTCGGTTCCTGCTGCTCGATTTCGACTTTCACATTTTTCACGTCATCCCCGGCGGAATTCCTGGCCACGCAGACGTATTTCCCTTCGTCGGAAACCCCAACCTTCTTGATCACCAGCGTCCCGTCGCCCAGAACCTCGTATTTGTCGGATGAAGCTGGAATCGCGGAGCTCCTCGGCGAAATCCACGTGATCCTCGGCGCGGGTTCTCCCACGGCGTCGCAGCCCAGTTTCGCCGAGTCTCCCAGTCGGACCGTGACGAACGACCGCGACTTGGACTTGATTTGCGGCGCGTTGGGTCCGACCTTGACGCTGACTTTCCTCTCGTCCGTCCCGAGTTTGTTTTTGGCGGTGCAGGTGTAGTCGCCCTCGTCCTTCTTGTCGATGTGGTGGAGGAGCAGCGTCCCGTTGGTGAAGATGACGTAGCGGCGCTGCCTGGTGCCGCTGTCGTCCGACTGGAGGGCGTTGTTGATCAGAGTTCCGTCGGGGAGGCTCCAGGAAACCTCGGGGTCGGGCAGGCCGGAGGCGACGCAGTCCACCTGCAGGGGGCGCAACACAGAGGTTCTGGTGAGATTTGAACCGAGAGGAGGTTTTTCCGATGTGTAATGTCTAAACCAGGACTGAACCAGGACTGAACCAGGACTGAGTCTTGGGACGGGCCCGGAGGTGTGGACACCCTGCTCCACGGGTTTGGGGTTCTCCTTCTCCCTCTCTTTCTCTCAAGTCCAAGATTAGTCCTGGTTCAGTCCTGGTTTAGACCTGGTTTAGTCCTGATTCAGTCGTGGTTCAGTCTTGGTTCAGTCCTGGTTCAGTCCCGGTTTAGATCTGGTTTAGTCCTGGTTTAGTCCTGGTTTAGACCTGCTTCAGTCCTGGTTTAGTCCTGGTTTAGTCCTGCTTCAGTCCTGGTTTAGTCCTGGTTTAGTCCTGGTTCAGTCCTGGTTTAGACCTGGTTTAGTCCTGATTCAGTCCTGGTTTAGTTCTAGTGTAGTCCTGGTTTAGTCCTGGTTTAATCCCGGTTTAGATCTGGTTCAGTCCTGGTTTAAACCTGGTTCAGTCCTGGTTTAGTCCTGGTTCAGTCCGTTATCTGTTTTTTCCATTTTTCATTTAAACACAAAATTGAAAACTGAAAAAACTGAATCATTATCTGTTTTTTGTTTTGTTTTTTTTTATTATTATTTTGGTTTTGGAGACAAATAATGAAGAAAATCGTTGTTTTTTTGTTTTTTTTTATTTTTGGTTTTATTTTGAAAAACTTAATAATCCGAATCTGGACGAGAACGAGGCAGGTCCTGAGTTTTATTACAAACAAACACGAGCAAAGAAACAAAACAAAAAAAATAAAAATAAAAAATACAGCTCAGACGGTGTAAAAATATTTCCTGCTGTTTATTTTTGTACCTGGAAGTTCTCTCCGTACGGGACTCGGGTCTGTGCCGTCCTCACGTGCTCGATCCTCGGAGGAGTCATCAGGACCTCCACCTGAAAAGAAATAAAATAAAAAAAAACACTTTAGATTGTGAAGTTTGAACCAAACCTGAAACATCTCCACCTCTTCTCCGTTTGGTCTTTTACCTGAAACATCTCCACCTCTTCTCCTTTTTTCTTTACCTGAAACATCTCCACCTCTTCTCCGTTTGTTCTTTTACCTGAAACATCTCCACCTCTTCTCCGTTGGGCCGGTTGAACAGGCAGGTGTAGCTCCCGGCGTCGGTCTCCGTGAGCTGCAGGATCCTCAGGGTCCCGTTCCTGAACACTCGGATCGGACGCTCGGGGCTGAGGAGAGGAGAAGAAACGTCAGTCGAACGTCAGACGGATCTGGATTTTCCGTTTGGACTCCACGTTCTTCCGCCTGAAACGTCCTGACCTGAGTCTGTAGTCCAGCAGGGTCTTGGAGGGCAGCTGCCACACGGTTCCCCTCTTGGACCCGGTGGACTCGGGGCAGTGCAGGTAAACCGCCGAGCCGTACATCGCCCTGACCGAGTGCAGCCGGGACGAGGGGGCGGGGCCGGGACGAGGGGGCGGGGCCGGGACGGGGAGGGCGGGGGGCGGAGCCGGGAACGACGGGAAATCTGGAGCGACGTCGAGCCGGACGATCCGTTTGGCGAAACCGACCGGATTAGAGGCCAAACACTCGTACCTGAAAAAATGAAATGACTCAAAACCAGGACTAAACCAGGACTAAACCAGACTAAACCAGGACTAAACCAGGACTAAACCAGGACTAAAACCAGGTTTAAACCAGGACTAAATCCAGGTCTAAAACCAGGATGAAAACCAGGACTAAACCAGGACGAAAACCAGGTTTAAACCAGGACTAAACCAGAACTAAACCAGGTCTAAACCAGGACCAAAACAAGGTCTAAACCAGGACTAAACCAGGACTAAACTAGGACTAAACCAGGTCTAAACCAGGACTAAACCAGGATTAAAACAAGGTCTAAACCAGGACTAAACAAGGACTAAATCGGGACTAAACCAGAACTTAACCAGGACTAAACCAGAACTTAACCACAACTAAACCAGGACTAAACCAGAACTAAACCAGGTCTAAACCAGTCAAATCGTTTTAAAGTGGTCTTGATAAAGGTGCAGTCCCACCTTCCTCCATCAGAGGGCGTCACGTTGTTGATGTACAGCGTCCCGTTGGGGAAGACGAGTCTCCGCCCCACGATCTGAGTGGGTTTGATTGACAGGCCGCCCGGGGGGGTCCACTTCAGCGAGGGGGGGGGCTCTCCTCTCACCGAGCAGTGCACGAACACACTACGACCTGAGGGACGAGAAACACGACCTGAGGCACACGCTACGACCTGAGGGACGAGAAACACGACCTGAGGCACACGCTACGACCTGAGGGACGAGAAACACGACCTGAGGCACACGCTACGACCTGAGGGACGAGAGACACGACCTGAGGCACACGCTACGACCTGAGGGACGAGAAACACGACCTGACGGACACGCTACGACCTGAGGGACACGCTACGACCTGAGGGACAAGAAACACACGACCTGAGGCACACGCAACGACCTGAGGGACAAGAAACACGACCTGAGGGACGAGAAACACGACCTGAGGGACGAGAAACACGACCTGAGGGACAAGAAACACGACCTGAGGGACACAAAGATATGACCTGAGGGACGAGAGACACGAACTGAGGGACACGCTACGACCTGAGGGATGAGAAACGCGACCTGAGGCACACGCTACGACCTGAGGGACGAGAACACGACTGACACACGCTACGACCTGAGGGACACAAACACACGACCTGAGGCACACACTACGACCTGAGGGACGAGAAACACGACCTGAGGCACACGCTACAACCTGAGGGACAAGAAACACGACCTGAGGCACACGCTATGACCTGAGGGATGAGAAACACGACCTGAAGCACACGCTACGACCTGAGGGACACAAACACACGACCTGAGGCACACGCTACGACCCGAGGGACGAGAAACACGACCTGAGGCACACGCTACGACCTGAGGGATGAGAAACACGACCTGAGAGACACGCTACGACCTGAGGGACGAGAGACACGACCTGAGGCACACGCTACGACCTGAGGGACACAAACACACGACCTGAGGCACACACTACGACCTGAGGGACGAGAAACACGACCTGAGGCACACGCTACAACCTGAGGGACGAGAAACACGACCTGAGGCACACGCTACGACCTGAGGGACGAGAAACACGACCTGAGGCACACGCTACGACCTGAGGGACACAAACACACGACCTGAGGCACACGCTACGACCCGAGGGACGAGAAACACGACCTGAGGCACACGCTACGACCTGAGGGATGAGAAACACGACCTGAGAGACACGCTACGACCTGAGGGACAGAGACACGACCTGAGGCACACGCTACGACCTGAGGGACGAGAAACACGACCTGACGGACATGCTACGACCTGAGGGACACGCTACGACCTGAGGGATGAGAAACACGTCCTGAGGCACACGCTACGACCTGAGGGACAAGAAACACGACCTGAGGCACACGCTACGACCTGAGGGACAAGAAACACGACCTGAGGGACGAGAAACACGACCTGAGGGACAAGAAACACGACCTGAGGGACACAAACATATGACCTGAGGGACGAGAGACACGACCTGAGGGACACGCTACGACCTGAGGGACACAAACACACGACCTGAGGGATGAGAAACAAAACCTGAGGGACGAGAAACATGACCTGAGGGATGAGAGATACGGCCTGAGGGACACAAACACATGACCTGAGGGACACGCTACGACCTGAGGGACACAACACACGACCTGAGGTACACAACACACGACCTGAGAACATGCTACGACCTGAGGGACGAGAGACACGACCTGAGGGACATGCTATGACCTGAGGGACACAACACACGACCTGAGAGAAACAAGGGACGACCTGAGGGACAAGAGAGATGACCTGAGGACACACGCTATGACCTGAGGGACAAGAGAGATGACCTGAGGGACACGCTATGACCTCAAAGACACGCTACGACCTGAGGGACAAGAGAGACGACCTGAGAACAACCTCCTCACCAGACAGGAGGGAAGGCACCAGCTGTCAATCAAACCTGTTGTGGGAGGGACCTTGAGGAATGAAGGCGTCTGATTGGTCCGTTATTTAAGTTCAGATCTTGATTTAGGAACAAAATAGAAAAATGAAACAATCCAGATTCTGTGTCGCGGGTTCAGAAAAACATTTAAGACCAAAACGACGAGGCCACAGCAGCAGAAAGAGCCAGAAGGAGCCAGAAGAGCCACCTGGAGCACTTCCTGTTCATATAAACAGTCTCTGGGAATAACTCTGGACCACCGCAAACTGTTTAAAATGAACTAGTTCTGTTTTTCGCGCTTTAAAAATGGTAAAACTCAGGTCCGGAGACTTGAGCTGCGCGCTGACAGCCTCGGGTCGTTCAGAGGGAGCCGTTCGTCCGGACACTGCTTTTGAAATCAGGTCGAGGTCGTGGCTGATTTGAGCTCAGGAGAGTTTAAACCGTAGCTGCTCGGAACATTGAAGAGCACGTCTGGATGCGAGTCCAAACATCTGCGTTTCCTCATCACTCTCCAAGTCTCCGAAGACCCGAGTGCCGTCTGCTCAGAGGAACTTCAGGTCCCCGGTGGCGTCGGACTCGTGGTTATTCTGGGTCTCTGTTTATTTCTGTAAAAGTGTGTGCGGAGGGTGATTCTGCGGGTTTACGTTGCGATGTCTTTTCGCCGTGTTAAACCGTTTTTCTGCGAACCGTAAAGAGGGTTTGGATAGGGCCCTGGAGAGATCACTAAATTACTCAAACACGCACGGACGACTCGCAAACGTCTTCGGGCAGGTTTCTGATGAGAGAACAACCGGTCTGAACAAACATCGACACGTTCACCCGCCGCCCGAGTGTTTTAGAATCGATTTGACGATTTTACTAATGGGTCAGTCTGTATGAAATCAGCCGCCCTCCCCTTTGAGCCGTCTCAGATTTGGCTGAAAATTTTTCTATAAATTTCTAAAATTAACAAATGAAAGAATCTCAAATCGTAGCTCAGTCCCTTGAGTCGTTCCTGAGTTATGTCCCGTTGAAATTTTGGGACCATGTTCACTTTTTCTGAAGCCTTAACATGTTTGAGAGACCAGAACTTCATCAAAAATAGAGATAGGAAGCTGAAAATTTGTATTAATGTAGATTTTTGGTCATAGATTCTGAATTTGTTGTCAGATATTGTGTATTTTTATTAAGGGGGGGCGCTGTGGGACCCCAAAATCTCACATTTGGGCCCCCAAAATCTCACGTTTGGTTGCCGCTCAATTTTTTTTTTCAGTTTTTGAGGGCCAAGATCTATTTACTCCAAGCAGATATTTACAAACTCACTGTTGAACCTGAATATTTGAGAGAATTAACATTTCTGACAACAATCTCACACTTTTCTGAGCTTTCATGTGGACGGTGTAGAGTCCCAAATATGGTCACAGAACAAATGTGGTCTTTTTGGCCCTTTCTTTGGAGCCTCGGTTGTGGGCAGAGTTAGATGTTGATCAGATTTTTACCAGAGAAAGTTTGGCATATTTTGATTAGTTTAAAGTAATAAAAACATCTCAGCTTCCTCGCTCTGTTTTTGATGAAGTTCTGGTCTCTCAAACATGTTTATAAATGACGGTTTCAGAAAAAATGAACATGGCCCCAAAATTTCAACGGGTCATAACTCAGGAACGACTCAAGGGACTGAGCTAAAATTTTTGATTCTTTCATTTGGTAATTTTAGAAATTTTTTAAAAATTTTTCCAGGCAAATCTGAGATGACTCAAAGGGGAGGGCGGCTGATTTCATACGGACTGACCCTGATCACTTTTAAAGCTCGTTTCGGTCTCGCGCCGAGTCACATTTCGGAACTTTTAACCCCGTATGAGTCTCAGATCCTCAGGTCCCTGTGGCTGTTCCAAAGTCCAGGCTCCGGACGAAGCTGATGGAGCCTTTTCAGTTCGGGCGCCTCGTCTTTGGAACGACCTCGCACCAACAGGATCATCTTTTAAATCCCTTCTTAAGAGTAATTTTTATCGATATTTACCTTCCTTTAACTGGTTTAGCTTGATTTTATTCTTATTTCTTTTTATTTATTGAATTGTTTGAGTCATTGATTTGTAGGCGTCTTTTTTTTTTTGTTGGTTGAAGATTTGGTGATGGGGCAGATTTATGAAGCTGCTGGAGAATACGACACACATTTACACACACATTTACACACACATTTTGACACAGAAAAACATTAACCGGACGTCCTGCAAACCTAAAGCGGGAGACTTCTGGTCGTTATGAAAAAGGTCGATTGTAGACAGGACACTTTTTTGCTTTTAAAAATACCTTGACAAGATTTTGGTGTGAATTATTTCCGTCGTAATCCCAAGAATTCAAGTAAAAAAACATATTTCTTCACGTTGTTTGCGGTGAAATGAATCATGGGAGATGTAGTTCCCGATGTTTTTAGCTGTCGCTTCTATAAAACAAAGCATTTAAGCAAAGGAACTTGTGATTCGATATATTGTGACAGTCCTCGATATTATTCTGAGACTTTTGACGATATTTTGGTTAATGCTACTTCTCTACTATCGATACTTGTTAAAGGTTGTATGGAGGATTTTTTTTTTGTTTCAAATTGTTAGTGAAAGTTTAAAATACCGTTACAGAGACGCAGCAGCCTTGTGATTATGATGACAAAAAAAAAAGAATGAAAATCGATCAACTGTGGACGTAGTGAGGCCAGATAAACATCAGCCAATAGAAAACAAGGCTTCCTCATTTTCTATTGGCCGTTAGGTTGTCAATCAAACTTCTTACGTTTCTAGTGTAACTGACTGATGGGATTATGTGGTTCATGCGGCGGTTCTTAGCGGGTTTTTTAAACTGTCGGTTCTTCGCAGTTCGCACAAAGTTTGTCGCGATGGCGGACGAGAATCCACGACCAGTTCGCCGCGAAAGAAAGTCAGTTTTTGAGGTCGCTGAAAGAAGAAGAAGAGAAGGAGAAAAGGAGCGAAGACAAACCGAGGTGATTCTTGGAGATCTCGTCCAGCGATTACGCGAACGAAGCAAACGAACGGTCTAAAAACTGAAGACACGTCGGTCGTTAAATTATTTCTAGACAGGTCACTTCAACAGTTATTCTGAAGCGCACCGGCTGTAAACAAGCGTGATTTCTAGAGTAAAGAGGCGGGAGGAGATGTTTCTACTGAGGCTGTGAAGGAGGAAGGTGGTGTCACACATGCACAACATTTGAAAAAAGGACTGTCGCTGTATTTCTCTTCCCTTAAAAAATCCTCTATACAACCTTCAAATTAAGCATCTATTTTTGATTCTGGTTTTAGAATCGATTAGTATCTGATTCTGTAACACTTTATAATAACTACACCTTATTTAGCCTTAATAAAGCATGAACGAAGGCTTAATTAATAATGATTCATGCTTAGTAACTACTTAATTACTACCTGAATTAGCACTTGCACTTCATTTGCCTGTGCTGTAAATAGTTACTCATAATTATTTCATACTTAATTACTCATGAACTAACCATTTGAGCATTTATTAATCATTAGTAAACTATGAGAGAATGATTTACTAATAATACAATGATAATTCAGGCAGCTGTTATCTGTTAGTTAAGTCTTTTTTAGAGAGAGTGAATTTTATTAAGCATTTACTAAGCATGAATCATTATGAATTAAATCTTTGTTCATTATTAATTAAGTCTTTGTTCATGCTTTATTAAGGCTAAGTAAGGTGTAGTTATTATAAAGTGTTACCTCTGATTCTTGATACTTTTGACAACCCTACAGCCACAGCTCCATCACAGAAATCCTACCTGGTTGGATGAGGACAGTGTCCGTGGCCTTCTCGGCGATAGTGGGAGGTAGCGCCGCCACGTGGACGTGATACGTAACCGTGTCCGCCCCGGCCGCGTTACTCGCTATGCATTTATAATCCCCTTTACTGGAGAAGTTCGCAGAGTGGATCTGAAGAGTCCCGTTTGGGAATAACACCATCGGAGCCAGAGCGGTGTGCACGGCTCCCGCGTCCCTCACGAAGGTCCGGTCCGGGAGAATCCAGGAGATCTGGGCCGTGGGTCTTCCGGAGGCCGGGCAGGGCAGGGCGGCGCTGTGTCCCAGGTACAGGGACACGTCCGTGGACTTCGGGGGCTGGATCTTGGGGGGCTGCGTCTGGACGGTCAACGTGACGACGCTGCGGTCCGACCCGAGGCGGTTCTGAGCCGTGCAGAGGTACTGGCCCCGGTCCTGGAGCTGCACGGATCGGATCAGGAAAGAGCCGTTCTGGAAAACCTCAAAGCGCGGTCCGTGTTTGGAGCTGGCGGGGATGGTGGCTCCTGAAACACAGAAACGTGGTTATAGTTTTCAAGAATGTTTTCTAATCTGCAGGTGCACCGTGCAACTTTTCTGGTTTTCTTCATGGAGATGTTTTTACTTTGTCTGAAATGTTCCACAGTATGGCTTTAAACTTTTCTACCTTCACGGAAAACAAACTGGACCAAGTTACAGGTCAGATCCTTTTTTAAATTTTAGGGTAATTTAGTCTAGTTTAGATGTATCCCAGAAATATCGCCGTTTTGTTTTGCAAAAGTTAAACATAAGTTTTCATTTTTAGCGATAAGATTTGGATGAGAATTATGTGTGGAATTTGGCAGATTTGTTTTTTCAGTTTTCAGTTTTTGGGGGTTATTTTTCCTGTACACATATCGAGATATATATCGTATATCGAGATATATTTTTTGATCCATATGGCCCAGCCCTAGTTCGCAGTGTGTCTCGGTTGTTGGGCGACAGGAGCGGCTCCGTGGGCTGCACCTGTCACATTTCGGCAACGCTCTTGTCGTCCGCCGAGGTAAGTTCGAGGGCTGCATCGGACGACCCCGGGCGATGACGGGGAAGCAACATCATCGTTTTCCAAAAGCCGCAACGCCGGCGTTCTCAGATTTCTCCACTCTGCAAAAACACCGTTTTCGTCCACCCAAAACGCCGACTCCGTGTGGACAAAAGGCCAAAACAAATACAAACTTCACCGTTTCGATCAAAAAACGTTGTTGAGTGGACAGGCGATTAATCAAATGCAAAAGAAACCGCGCGCCAAAGTTCCTGCAGAGGTGCAAACGCAAGAAACAGCAAAACAAAAGTGAAAAAATGCATCGCACGCTCAGACGGCCGATGTCCAAAAGCTCCGTCTATTTTTAAATGTTTCAACAGTGGTTCAAAGCAAGAAAAATGATCTGACGAAGGCGTTTTGGTTGAAATGTTTTTTTTTTTAAATAGAGGGAACTTCTAAATCAGGCTTAAACCAGAACTTAAAAGCGTCAAACTTAACAGAGCTGAGCATCACCAGGACCAAACCGATGAACTCCAAAAGACGTCCGCCGAAAGCCTTAGGGACCTGCACTGGAGCCGCTGTTTTCCTGTAAGTTTAATCAGCCCTAACACGAGGACCTCCCAGCGCCGTTTGTCCCAGAAAGACCCGGAGTCCCGCAGGATCTGGCCTCGGCTGCGGATTCCTCAAGTCCCTGGAAGTCCCTGCTCGTCTTGGACCAGATGTTTCGGTTCTGCTCCAAAACTCTGGACAAATCATTTTCACTTTCCCGTGTTTCCTGCTTCGATAAAAAGATCAGGAGTTTTCAAACCATCAAACTTTAACCCCCATAAATAATCTTCTAATCCGCTAAACCGTTTTCTGTCAGGATAAGAAAGTAAAGCCTGTTTTCTGTGTTTTCTGTTGTGTCTCGTCCACTCGTGTGTAAAGTCCCGATGCTTTGTCTTTTTAATGTTTTTTACTTTTAAAAACAATTTCCTTGAGGACAATAAATTACCTGAAGTTAAAAAGACATGGATAAGAAAGATCTTCATTACGGAAACTACTGGGACATAGATCAGACTATAATTTAATACAAATTCCACGAGGAAGAGACAAGATTGTGACATAAGCTGTAATAAATAAATCTAAAATAAATAAATCACATGGTTGAGTTCAGAGTTTTTCAAGTGTAACTCAGCGAAGTAAAGTCTTCACGAGAATTATTTGGATCATTTCACTCGTGGAACTGCCGATCTCTACTGAACTAAAGGTAAAAGGAGCTGTTCACTTGAAAAACTGTTACTTTTAAAACAGCACAGATGGACCGAAGTGCTGCAGAACAGAATTAAATAAAAAAAAACATTAAAAAACATATGAATAAAAACAGGATCTAAGAAAATATCAGCAGCTCCAACTGTTGGTGCGTTCGTTTATTCATCCGACTCTGTAATCCACAGGTGTTAAACATACGGCCCGGGGGCCAGATCCGGCCCTCCAACACCTTTAATCTGGCCCTCGGCTGATTTTCTACTAAAATATTTGAATGATATTTTCTATTAAAATCTTGTTAATTTTCTGTGGTGTTTATCACAGCAGCGTCTCCAGCGTCTCTGTACGTGGCCCCTCCCACCAGAGCAGCACAAATGAAGACTTGTCTCTTTCCAAACGCTCTTAAAGGACGATCGTTTTGACTGTTGACCGTGACACCCTCATCAGAAAAATGTCCAACATGAGAAAAGTGGAGCCGAGTGCAGGATTTTACAACAAAAATGAACTTATTCCTGTTTACAGACAAGTTCATGTTAAAACTTTGTTTCGAAATTAAATTTTTCTTAAAGTTTCAGGTTGTTCATAATATTATAATATTTTGTAAAAGAAAGAGTTCATCAATTAAAAAAGATTTCTGATTTTCCTGTTTCACTTCTGTTTTAGTCCTAGTTCAGTCGTGGATTAGTCCTCCTCTTCAGTCCTGGAATCAGTCCTGGTTTAGTCTTGGTTCAGTCTGTGGCGTAGGCAGCGCAAAAAGTTTGATATAATCTCGGGTTAACGGGCAGGTGCGGTCTGTACTGGCAGGTGCGGTGCTGTACTGTGGGTCTCCAAAATGGCCCCGTGCAGGACTCTGCGCTGTCGGCTCCATTACGGAATAAATTAATCTTCAATTTGTTACATAAAGAAGGAGGAAAATAACAAAAGGACGACAGCAGCAACAAGTTTTAAGAAGAATGTAAAGTGTTGAAACTGTCCTGTGTGAGAAAAGTGTATAAAGTTTGTGTTGAGGTTTTACAGACTTAAAACAGATAGAATAATTGTAAAATATAAAGTTGATACTTTGCAGATTTCACCTATTGTGGGTTATTTTTTAGAACATAACCCCAGCAATAAACGAGGGACACTGACCTCTCACCTCAACCTGTGCACATGGACTCACACTTGTCCTGAACGGGACGGAAAACAGAGAATTTCTTGTACAAGTCATTGTACATGAACAATACATGAACAAAATTATAAATGATTTCATAGATTTTATTATACCCCAGTGCGTCTTCAGAAAATGTTCCCTGACAGCTCCGATCTTTGTTATAAATGTCAAAAATATAAAGGCACTTCAGTACATTTATTCTGGGAATGTACCCATCTAACCAACAGATGACGGGAAAAACTTTTGTCATGTCACCATCATTGTATCTGTTAAATCTTTGTCCTGACAGACTTTTTGATAACGTTACCCAGTCTATGTTAATGATTATGACGTCTTTGGCAAGAAAATGTGTTCTTTAACCTCACATTTACCTCCACTGGATTTATCATCAACCACTCCCCTGGAAAAACCCAAAACAAGAAATGTTCTGGAAAATATGGACACCTGTACACATATATTTAAATATGTAATTTATTTATTTTATTTTTTATTTATTTATATATTTTTGAATGTATTTGTTATGGGTGAGTGTTTGAGTGTGTGTGTATGTATGTAAATGTATGTCATTTGTATATATTAATTATTATTATTTTCTGGTCAATATTATTATCATTATTATTATTTTATTTTATTATTTATTTTTTTATTATTATTTATTATTTATTTATTTATTATTATTTTATTATTAATTAATTTATTTATTTTTTGTTTCTTTCTTTTTTCTTTTCAGCGTCTGTTAAGGGTGGGTGTGGGTGTGGGTGTATTGGGGTTTGGGAAAGGGGAGGAGGGGGTTTAAATGTGGCATTTGTACACTTGTATATTTTGTGGCATTTCTGTGTGGCCGTAAGACCACAGTATAGAAAAAAAAATCAAAAATTAAATTCAATATATATGAAAAAAAAAAATCCGACCTGTAACTTGGTCTGGTTTGGTCTCCGTGAAGATAGAACAGTTTAATGCTGTACTGAGAAACATTCCAGACAAAGCAACAGCATCTCCATGGAGAAAAGTCCCAGAGTGCAGCTTTAGCGGAGATTTACCGGTGGAGACTTTGGTCCAGGCGACGGTCGGGGGGGGCAGACCCGAGGCTCGACAGGGCAGGAGCACGTCGCTCTCGGCCAGAGCGGAGACACTCACCCCGGACTCCGACGAGATCCGAGGTCTGGACCCGGACTCGGACCCGGCGGCCCAGGGGAAGGGCGGGGCCGCCGTGGGGCGACGCGAGCTCACGCGACCTGCAGGGGGCGCAAGGTCAGGAGAGAAGATCAACAGTCAGTGAGAGAAACTCATCACGCGGCTCGTCACACTTAGACCAAAAAATACAAACACAGCAACAATCCGTGTGTCACTCGTTCATTTGTTTTTCAAAATAAAACGAAAAATAAGAAAATGAATTGTCTCCAAAACCAAAATGAAAAAACAGATAATGATTTGTTTTTTTTTCAGTTTTCTATTTTGTGTTTAAATGAAAAATGAAAAAAAAAAAAAACAACAGATATGTTTTCCCGTTTACGTGACTTAAACTGCGATGCCGGACTAAACCAGGACTAAACTAGGACTAACCAGGTAAACCAGGTTTGAACCAGGTTCGGGGACCACACTGGCACTGAGACCAGGACTTTGACCAGGACCAGACCAGGACTGAGACCGGGACCAGACTGGGATTGAGACTCGGGATCAACCGTGGGGTCTGCTCCACAGACTTGGGGTTCTCTCTCTCACTCTCAAGTCCAAGATTAGTCCTGGTTTAGTCCTGGTTTAGTCCTGGTTCAGTCCTGGTTCAGTCCTGGTTTAGTCCTGGTTTAGTCCTGGTTCAGTCCTGGTTCAGTCCTGGTTTAGTCCTGGTTTAGTCCTGGTTTAGTCCTGGTAGTCCTGGTTTAGTCCTGGTTTAGTCCTGGTTCAGTCCTGGTTCAGTCCTGGTTCCTGGTTCAGTCCTGGTTTAGTCCTGGTTTCAGTCCTGGTTTAGTCCTGGTTTCCTGGTTTAGTCCTGGTTCAGTCCTGGTTTCCTGGTTTAGTCCTGGTTCAGTAGTCCTGGTTTAGTCCTCCTGGTTTAGTCCTGGTTTAGACCTGGTTCAGTCCTGGTTCCTGGTTTAGTCCTGGTTTAGTCAGTCCTGGTTCAGTCCTGGTTTAGTCCTGGTTTAGTCCTGGTTTAGTCCTGGTTCCTGGTTCAGTCCTGGTTTAGTCCTGGTTCAGTCCTGGTTCAGTAGTCCTGGTTCCCTGGTTTAGTCCTGGTTTTAGTCCTGGTTCCTGGTTCAGTCCTGGTTCAGTCCTGGTTTAGTCCTGGTTTAGTCCTGGTTTAGTCCGGTTTTTTCCTGGTTCAGTCCTGGTTCAGTCCTGGTTTTCAGTCCTGGTTCAGTCCTGGTTTAGACCCTGGTTCAGTCCTGGTTCAGTCCTGGTTTAGTCCTGGTTTCAGTCCTGGTTCAGTCCTGGTTCAGTCCTGGTTCAGTCCTGGTTTAGTCCTGGTTTAGTCCTGGTTAGACCTGGTTCAGTCCTGGTTTAGTCCTGGTTTAGTCCTGGTTCAGTCCTGGTTTAGTCCTGGTTCAGTCCTGGTTCAGTCCTGGTTCAGTCCTGGTTCAGTCCTGGTTTAGTCCTGGTTTAGACCTGGTTCAGTCCTGGTTTAGTCCTGGTTTAGTCAGGTCCTGGTTCCTGGTTAGTCCTGGTTCAGTCCTGGTTTCCTGGTTAGTCCTGGTTCAGTCCTGGTTTAGTCCTGGTTTAGTCCTGGTTCAGTCCAGTTGGTTCCAGTTTTTATTCGAATTCGGTTAAATGTGTCAAACAATAACACAGTGACAAAAGAACATAAACGTGTCTGAACCTGTGATGTAAAACGCTCTCACCTCCGATGGGCCAGTGTCCGTACGGCGCCCCCTGTGGGGTGGGGTACTTGGGCCTGGGCGTGGGGTAGAACCCGGGGTAGGACTTGGGGTGAGGAGGGGGCAGAGTGTAGCTGTAGGGGGCCGTGGGAGGGGGTATTTGGGGGGGTATTTGGGCGTGTAGGGTTTGTAGACGGGAGGGTCGAAGGGTCGTGGGGTCAGGACAAACGGGACTTTGAAGCCGCTGCGAGGTCTGGGGGTCACGATCTTCCCCAACTGAGCCATTCGGTCCAACTGAGCCTGAGGAAAACAGTAACAGACAGAACAGAGATGTTACGTTTCATTTAAAAAGCTTTTTGTCGCTCAGAGACGATCGTAACAGACGCCTGAAGCCAGAGCCGCACGTGGAGCAACAACTAATGCGGCGCTCAGATCGCGGCATCAAAAAACACCCTGGACGCCTCGATTTGGACGCCATTCCATTTGAGTTCAGACGCCCCCGATGTGCGTCTTTGACACCGTGGACCAACAGAAGAAAAAACAGAAGAAAAAATACTTGACGCGCGTCCGTTGCCCTAGAAACAAGAGCCTGGTCCCGGTCTTTCCCGAAACAATGTCAGACCAGACTGAGAGAGACTTTAGTGTTTTTATGACGTAAAACATCAGCGGAGGAAATCGACTCGACGACTGCAACGAGAATATATGTGTACTCCACTAATGACACTGTTCCAGTCCTGGTCCAGTCCTGGTCCAGTCCTGGTCCAGTCCTGGTCCAGTCCTGGTCCAGTCCTGGTCCAGTCCTGGTGATCTGCTTGGTGATTGTGGTGTATATATTTTAGGGTTGGGCAAAAATAAAAAATATTAATCGTAATAATCGCATGAGTCTGAGTGCGATTAATCGTGATTAATCACATGTTCTACACAAAACCAATGAATGAATTAAAAAGTCAAGTATAATGACTTTTATTTTAAATGTAAATGAAAGAGTCAAACATTTCTTGTTCAAACAACATTTCTTTCAGAGTTGAACCTCAGAGTCTTCAAGGTTTTCTAAAGGCTCAAGAAAAAATACTGAATGAATTTTTGTTCTACTAATATATTTTTTCAATATTTTGTATTCAGTGAGTAATAAACACGACACTAGTAATAATTTCTAGATCATTGTTAAAAACTAATATTTCTTGAGAAACAAAGGGTTAATATAACTAAACTAAACTAAACAAACACCTGCAGGAGCTTCATTGGCTGGAACAAAGTTTGAGATTGACAGTTGTCTGAGCCAATCAGATTTCACTGAGTTATGGGTGGGATCATATCACCAAATCTTCTGGACCTTCGCAAATACCCTGTGATAGCGTCAAGTAAACGAGACCACAGCGACGAAAACGGCACTGGACGCCTCAGACCCGTGAACCGGCGCCCGCGGCCGAGCCCGGGACTCGAACACGTTGTATCTCACGTGGTCAGAAAAAAGTGAAAAAAGTGTAAAGAAAAGACGTCAAACTTAAAGAAACGCTCGGGGTGGACTTTTCCAAAATAAAAGCCAGTGAGAAACACACGTTTACAATAAAAAAATTATAAAAACTGCATTAACGGAGTTAAAATAATTGTCGGTGATAATGAATTAATTAGTTAACGCAAAATTAACTCGTTAACGTGCCCGACCCTAATATATTTGTTCTCCACTAATGTTTGTGGCTCTGGTTCTCGGGTCTTTCTCTTTCTTCTGGAAAATAACTTCGCTACATCTCTGGATACTCGTCCCTGATTGGTTAAAGCTGCTCGTTCAGCATTTTCAACTTCTTGAAGAAGCACCACAAAAACTCAGGACTTTACACATAAACCAGACGCCTTGGTGCTTCGGTCTGAACGGGCCTTGAGGCTTCCTGCCCGTCTGTGCCCTCGGCTCCTTCTGACCACTAAAGTCTAAATGATTAGTTAGAACATTTCTGAGGCGCATGTCGGTCGACGCAGACGCTCTGCAGAGGGGTTCAAGGCGACGCAAACTCTCTGCGTCATGATGCAGATGATTTGACGCAGGATCATGAACCGGGCTGAAGGCTGGGCTCTGTTTACAGTCGGTACAGAAGAGTCTGAGCCGGTCCCCGTCCCCGTGCCTCTGCTGCCCCCTGGTGTCTCGTACCTGTCTGTATCTGTTGCGGAGTCGTGTGATGAAGAGTTGGTCCATGCTGGGCTGGTTCGGGCGCTGCACCGGCGGGAGGTGGGGGTTGAACGCCGTGGGCCTCGCCGTCTCCGCGATGATCTCCGGGCGGTTCGTGACGGGAGCCTGGACCCACGGGTGCTGGAACGGCCACGGGCGACGGGTGGGCACCGAGTGGGACCCTGGATTTACACGTGAACCACGAGAGGATAAAGGACTAAACCAGGACTAAACCAGGACTTATCTAGAACTAAACCAGGACTAAACCAGGACTTAACTAGGACTAAACCAGGACTGAACCAGGTCTAAACCAGGACTAAACCAGGACTTATCTAGAACTAAACCAGGACTTATCTAGAACTAAACCAGGACTAAACCAGGTCTAAACCAGGACTTAAAGAAAATAAAACCAGGACTAAACCAGGTCTAAACCAGGACTTAACTAGAACTAAACCAGGTCTAAACCAGGATTTAACTAGAACAAAACCAGGTCTAAACCAGGACTTAACTAGGACTAAACCAGGACTGAACCAGGTCTAAACCAGGACTGAACTAGAACTAAACCAGGACTAAACCAGGTCTAAACCAGGTCCAAACCAGGACTTAACTAGAACTAAACCAGGACTGAACCAGGTCTAAACCAGGACTAAGCTAGGACTGAACCAGAACTCAACCGAGAGTAAACCAGGTCTAAACCTGGACTAAACCACAATTAAACCAGGTCTAAACTAGGACCTAAGTAGGACTGAACCAAGTCTAAACTAGAACTAAACCAGGTCTAAACCAGGACTAAACCAGGACTGAACCAGAACAGAACCAGGACTTAACCAGGTCTAAACCAGGACATCCTGACTGGTTCAGTCCTGGTTTAGTCCTGGTTCACACCCCCGGTACTTGCTGTGTTTTGCAGTTTTGTGTCTCACCTGTTTTTGAGTTGATCTTCGGCCACGTTGGATAAACCGGACCAGGAGGAGGAGGAGGAAGAGGAGGAGGAAGAGGAGGAGGAAGAGGAGGAGGAGGTCTGTGCTGTGGAGACCAGTTCACTGTGGGAGGAACGTACGGACTCTGGTTCGGTCTCAGCGGTTTCACTTCTGTCTCTTTACTCGTCCATCTCTCTTTATTCTCCTCCACTTTCCCCGTCTCTCTTTCTCTTCCGTTGTCCTGCCGATACAACCAGGGATGAACCGGCATTTGGATCGGATAATTGCCCAGTTCCGGTTTTAGTCTAGGCTTTTCCGTAACTCTTTCAACACGCTGCGTCACGATTTTCTTCTCCGGCGCCGTCCTCGAAGACGTTCTTGGTTCCTGTGGCGAATTCGGCGGCGGTAACGCTTTCGCCGGCGCCTTGAGTTGCGTCGTCAACCGAACGCTGTCCCTCGTGCTGTACGTCGGCGTCGCCCGGTTCGGTTTTTCCGCGTTTTCTTCGAATCTTTTCGTCGGAATTGTGAAAATATCCGGCAGCTGCGGCGTTGAGGTAACTTCCGGTTTTCCGGTTGTGAAAACGAGTTTCGTCGTCACAACTTCATCGGCGATGTCTTCGTCGTAGTAATCGCCGTCTTCTTCCTCGATCACGTACTCGGCGCTTGAGTCCGTCGTAGAAGCTATTGTAGTTGGCGCAGTAGTAGTAGTAGTAGTAGTAGTAGTAGTAGTAGTAGTTGTTGTTGTTGTAGTTGTAGTAGTAGGAATTGGAGTAGTTACCGGCCTGTTAAAATTATTTGCCCGGAATCTCGGTCTTCCAGGTCTCCTGCGTCCGAAAGGGGGCCGTCTCCGATTCGGGAAAACATTGGAATTCCTTCTGTCTTCATTGTAAAATTTATTTTGCGTAACCGGAGAAGCTGAGGTTGTTAAAACTTCCAGATGATTTTCCGTTTTAGTCACAGACGTTTCGGGAGTTTGAGGAGGTGGAATTTGCAAAACTGGTGCAATGTTTTCAATTTTTCCTTCCAAATTCTCTTCGTGGCGTCGTCTTGTCAAAACTTCGGGAGTCGTAGTCGCCGTTGTTGTTGTTTTTAGCTGCTGCGTGGTTAGTTTCTGCGTGCTGGTCGCTTCCGTCACTTTCGCGTTCGCTTTCGCCAGTATCTCCGCCCATCTGTTCGGATCGAGCTCTTTTACAGATTTATTCGGTTTGCGTTTTGAATCCATGACCCTGACTCTTTTCAGGTTTTGATTCCTTTGCTGCAGTCCGACTTTTTTCGGAAACTGCGTCGCGAACGGCCGGATAATCTCTTGGAAATCTACGCCGGATCCCTCTCCTCCTTCGTCCAAATTCGTCAGCAACGTTTGAACTTTCTTCGTTTCGATTTTAGCTTTCGGCTTGTCCGATTTGACCTCGACGACGTGCGCGATCATGTCCGCGCCGTATAAATTCGACGCCAAACAGCTGTACTCTCCGGCATCTTCCGGCGTTAACTTTTTTATCACTAAAGTCCCGTTGTTCGTGACCTGCGCGTGTTTTGTTTGCTGCGTCGGTAGCAGGATTTGATTTCTCGGGAGGTACCACAAGGTTTGACTGGGTTGGGCCGAAGTTACGTTACACGGCAACGTCAACGTGTCGCCTTTTTCCAGTTCAAACTTCTCCCCGTTCACCGCTTTCGGAGTTAGCGATTTTTCTTTTACCGTGACCCTAAACGGCGCCAAATCGACCCCGGCGTTGGTCCGGACCATGCAGTGGTAAACCCCTGAATCCGAAACAGTCGCGTTCAAAATCACCAGGTCGCCGTTTTGCTCGATTTCGATTTTACTGTTCGAATTTTCCAAAATCGACATGTCCGGTAGCATCCACTCCACTTTGATCTGCGTGTCCGATGCGATGACGTCACACTCGAGTTTCACCTTTGAACCTTCGACCGCGGTTTGGATACGCCCGCTTCCTCCTTGGCGAATCATGGCCCAAGACGACGTGATGCCGCCGTCGTCTTCCTCGCCTCTGTAGCTGTTGATATTTTTGCTTATTACCGTCGTGAAATCCATGACGAGCTTCTTCGTTGTCGTTTGCGGTCTGTTTAGCTTCAAAGTTACTCTCGGTTGTAGGAGCCACGATGGTTCCGCCGACATATATCCCTTTAATTCTGTAAAATACGGTGAGTTTTCGTTGATAATTTGCGTGTATTGGTAAGTTAAAATCGTTGCGTTCCCTCGCAGATGTCCTCTCTCCAAAATCGCCGGACTTTCGTAATAGTACGCAACCAACTGCCACAGATTCTGCAACGACTCCCGATCTATTTCGCATTCGAGCGCCGTCGCCAGCGTAGCGTTCACCGCGACGTCGTCGGGAGTTTGGGAATTCGTCGTCCAAGAGATCAGCGACGTCTCCGCGGGTTTCCGAACATCGCAGGCGACGTGGGCGTGGTTGGAGTGGCTGTCGGAAAGGACGAAGGTGAGTTTTCCGAGCGGCTTTTCGAAGTCTCTGGTGTAGGGGAGGTCCGGCTCGGACTCGGATTCGGAAAAGCGCGGGTTGTCCCAGAGTTTGAGGTGGGATCTGAGGACGGGGCGTTCGCAGGCGAGCTGGTCGGGGGTGAGGTCCAGGAGGTTGGAGGAGTTCAGAGGTTGTGGAGAGGAGCACTGGGGGCAGACCTCAGAGGAGCCAGAAGAGCCAGAAGAGCCAGAGTCACGGTCCTTCTTACACTTCACCACACCTGAAACACAACAACACAACAACACACGGGGTTTTAGTATTGAATATTAAATTTAATAATTAAAGTCGACAAGTCTACACGCATCAAGAATTTTGGACTTCCGGTCTTTGCGCAATTCAAATACAAAGTCGATCTTTTCAAGTCTTTTGAACCATTTCACTTTTGTTTCTGGTTCTGATATTGTCATATTTTAGTTTTGGGATTCGGACATCGTTAATTGTTGTGGTTGTTGGATCCTAACATCGGAAAACGGCTCGAGAAATTTGTTTGCGAACTCCATAAATGCAAAAGTGAATCAGATGTGTGTGACTCAAACCTCTGTTCAAACTGTTTCTCTTCCCAACGAAACTGAAAAATAGTGAAAGGTGAAGGCGATGGGCAGGACACAACGAGCGTGCGCTGAACCACCGCAATTATTTTTAAGAAGAATAAACGTGAAACATGATGCAGGAATAAATGAATTCGGCTTTAAAATCGGAATAAACCACCCACTGACTTCGGAATTAAAATGAATTCCGAATAATAATTTTACATGGTCTTTTAAAGCGGAATTAAAGGTTGTATAGAAGATTTTCCAAGGAAAGAGAAAACGTCTCCTCCCGCCTCCTCCTTACGCTAGAAATCACACTTGTTTACAGCCGGTGCGCGTTCAGAATTTAGCGACCGACGCGTCAGTCTTCAGACTCTTCGTCCGCTTCAGTCGCGCCATCGCTGGAAGGAATCTCCAAGAATCACCTTAGTTTGGCTTCGCTCCTTTTCCCCTTCTCCTCTTCTTCTTTCAGCGACCTCAAAAACGGACTTTCTTTCGCGGCGAACTGGTCATGGATTCTCGTCCGCCGTCGCAACAAACTTTGTACGAACTGCGAGGAAGCGACAGTTTGAAAAATCCGCTAAAAACCGCTGCGTTGGTCGAGTAAACAGCGTCTCGCGTCTATGGAATGTGTGAGAGGCAAATATAAACCACGTAATCCAAGCGCACCGGCGACTCAGTTACGCTAGAAACGTAGGGAGTTTGATTGATGACCTAACAGCCAATAGAAAACGAGGGAGCCTCTTTATCTGTTGGCTGAAGTTTATCTGGCCCCATCACGTCCACAGTTGATGGATTTTCATTCTTTTTTTTTTTTGTCATCATAATAACAAGGCTTCTGCATCTCTGTAATGGTATTTTAAACTTTCACTGACAATTTGAAACAAACAAAAAAAAAACTCCATACAACCTTTAATTATTTTTCAGAATTGAATTATTTTTATTCTGAATTAAAGCTCTCATGTAAACGTGGCGACAAAGGAACGGCGGTAAAAGGCAAAAAAAACGAGAGAAAATCTGTTCCTTGGAAACCTCACTTGTCCCTCGAGGGCCTCCATAGGAAATAAAGTATAGCTTCCGCCGCCTGTTTCCACCGCACGCCGCAAACGTAAACAAATAACAATAAACACAGCGTTGTTTGTCCGGAAACAGACGTCGGGAGATCAAAAATGAAACACAGAAGTTTCCAGCAGCTCCCAGACGCCCACACGCCAACGCCGTAAACACCGATACGCGACACACATGCTAACGGTAAACACGCGACATGCCGCTAACTGCGCGCACATGCCGACGGTAAACAACATATTAAACTGTGACATGTACGGCAACTGTAACTTTATCCACATTATTAAACAGCCGAGTCAAGTCAAACTCACAAAATAAAGAAATGAAAACACTGTGGGATGCGTCTATTGTCAAAGTCGATCTTTTCAAGTCTTTTGAACCATGTCACTTTTGTTTCTGGTTCTGATATTGTCATATTTTAGTTTTGGGATTCGGACATCGTAATTGTGTGGTTGTTGGATCCTAACAGCGGAAAATTACGGAAGCCGAGAGAGGGGTCATAACAAACGCAAACGCCGCAACAAATACGACAACACAACAACAAAAAAAGCCACAACGGAAATGACCGCGGGACTCTATTTTAATGCAAACGCCGCAACAAGTACAAAAGCCACAACACATCAAAAAGCCACAACACATTAAAAAGCCACAACACATCAAAAAGCCGCAACACATTAAAAAGCCACAACACATCAAAAAGCCGCAACACATTAAAAAGTCGCAACACATTAAAAAGCTACAACACATTAAAAAGTCGCAACACATTAAAAAGTCGCAACACATTAAAAAGCCACAACACATCAAAAAGCCGCAACACATTAAAAAGCCACAACACATCAAAAAGCCGCAACACATTAAAAAGTCGCAACACATTAAAAAGCCACAACACATCAAAATGCCACAACACATCAAAAACCCGCAACACATTAAAAAGTCGCAACACATTAAAAAGCCACAACACATTAAAAAGCCACAACACATCAAAAACCTGCAACACATTAAAAAGTCACAACACATCAAAAAAGCCACAACACATCAAAAAAGCCACAAACACATTAAAAAGTCGCAACACATTAAAAAGCTACAACACATCAAAATGCCACAACACATCAAAAACCTGCAACACATTAAAAAGTCGCAACACATTAAAAAGCTACAACACATCAAAATGCCACAACACATCAAAAAACCTGCAACACATTAAAAAGTCACAACACATCAAAAAGCCACAACACATCAAAAAGCCACAACACATTAAAAAGCCACAACATATTAAAAAGTCACAACACATTAAAAAGCCACAACACATTAAAAAGCCACAACGGAAGTGACCGCGGGACTCTATTTTCCGACTGACCGATCAAGCGGCAAGTGAAGAAGAAGAACTACAACGTGAAAAGTAAAGGAACGGGGAAGTTGGAAACATAAGTAAAAGTAATTTATTGTTTTATCGTTATTTGTTTCACGTTGTAGTTCTTCTTCTTCACTTGCCGCTTGATTGGTCAGTCGGAAAATAGAGTCCCGCGGTCCCTTCCGTTGTGGCTTTTTAATGTGTTACGGCTTTTTAAATGTGTTGTGGCATTTGTATTTGTTGCGGCGTTTGAATTAAAATAGAGTCCCGCTGTCATTTCCGTTGTGGCTTTTTTTTGGTTTGTTGTGGCTTTTTGTTGTGTTGTTGCATTTGTATTTGTTGCGGCGTTTGAGTTTGTTGTGACCCCTCTTGACTTCCGTAGAAAACGGCTCGAGAAATGGGCTTCGGAAGTTTGCGAACTCCATAAATGCAAAAGTGAGCCAGATGTGTGTGACTCAAACCTCTGTTCAAACTGTTTCTCTTACCCAACGGAATTGAAAAAATAGTGAAAGGTGAAGGTGATGGGCAGGATTGATCCACAGGAAGAACCAAAAAGGAAACATTTGACTGACTAAATCATCCTGAGTTTACAGAGAACATTTTGTATGTGGAGCGACGACAAAACAAAATCCCGTTTGTTAATGTAGAGGAGCAGAAGACAAACAGACTGAGCTGCACTTTCTTGTTCTTGTGGTTTTACAGCAACATCACGTCTTGGTCTCTTTGCAGTGGAAGGTGTTTCTTGGTGAACAGTTGGAGACTTTCACTTTGGCGTTGACTTTTTAAATTCGTAACCAAGTTTGACCGAGGGATCGGGATTTGTTTTGTTGTTGCTCCACATACAAAATGTTCTCTGCAAACTCGGGATGATTTCTTAGTCAGACAAATGTTTCCTTTTTGGTTCTTCCTGTGGATCAATCCTGCCCATCACCTTCACCTTTCACTATTTTTCAATTCCGTTGTGAAGAAAAACAGTTTGAACGGAGGTTTGAGTCACACACATCTGATTCACTTTCGCATTTATGAAGTTCGCAAACAAATTCCTTGAGCCGTTTTCCGCTGTTAGAATCCAACAACCACAACAATTACGATGTCTGAATCACTAAACTAAAATATGACAATATCAGAACCAGAAACAAAAGTGAAATGGTTCAAAAGACTTGAAAAGATTGACTTTGTCAATAGACACATCCCACTGGGAAAACAAACATGGAGGTTCGACGCTCACTTTTTCGAAAATTTGGGCGATGACCAGAAGTCCAAAATTCGTGATGCCTGTATTTAAGACCAAAATGAGGAGCCTGACAGCAGCGATAACAAATACAGAGGCTTTTTTAAATACAAAGTAAGGCCCTGTTTACACGCTTGCAGGGAAAAATAACAAAATATTTTATCGTGAGTGTCTTTCGTTTAGACGGTGACGGCGTTTTTGGGGTTTAAAATCGCAAAAATCTGAAACGACCCTCCAGAGTGGAAAAGCTGAACACGCTCCGCCGTAGAGTTTCCGTCTGCACTGCCCAAGACGCAAAACTCTGGTCACATGTGCTCAGGTCACGTACGTTTTTACATTTACATTTAGCACAGAAAAAATGACATTTAATATTTAAATAAAATTGTTGTAGGTTATTAAAAAAAAGAAAAAAAAAAAAGTCTCAGTCCTGACTCAGGATTAAACCAGGTCTAAACCAGGTCTAAACCAGGTCAAAACCAGGACTAAACCAGGACTAAACCAGGACTAAACCAGGTCTAAACCAGGTCTAAACCAGGACTAAACCAGGACTAAACCAGGTCTAAACCAGGACTAAACCAGGACTAAACCAGGACTAAACAGGACTAAACCAGGTCTAAACCAGGACTAAACCAGGTCTAAACCAGGTCTAAACCAGGACTAAACCAGGACTAAACCAGGACTAAACCAGGTCTAAACCAGGACTAAACCAGGTCTAAACCAGGACTAAACCAGGTCTAAACCAGGTCTAAAATTGGACTAAACCAGGACTAAACCAGGACTTAACCAGGTCTAAAATTGGACTAAACCAGGATTAAACCAGGTCTAAACCAGGACTAAACCAGGTCTAAACCAGGATCTCTAAACCAGGACTAAACCAGGTCTAAACCAGGACTAAACCAGGTCTAAACCAGGTCTAAACCAGGTCCAAACCAGGTCTAAAATAGGACTAAACCAGGACTAAACCAAGTCTAAACCAGGACTAAACCAGGACTTAACCAGGTCTAAACCAGGACTAAACCAGGTCTAAAATTGGACTAAACCAGGATTAAACCAGGTCTAAACCAGGTCTAAACCAGGATTAAACCAGGTCTAAACCAGGTCTAAACCAGGTCTAAACCAGGTCAAAATAGGACTAAACCAGGACTAAACCAAGTCTAAACCAGGACTAAACCAGGACTTAACCAGGTCTAAACCAGGACTAAACCAGGTCTAAAATTGGACTAAACCAGGATTAAACCAGGTCTAAAATTGGACTAAACCAGGACTAAACCAGGACTAAAATTGGACTAAACCAGGTCTAAACCAGGACTAAACCAGGTCTAAACCAGGTCTAAACCAGGACTTAGTTCTGACCTTGATGCTCCGCTCCCCAGTTGAGGAGCCAGCGCAGGCCGCAGTCACAGACCCAGGGGTTGTTGTGGAGCGTGAGCAGCTCCAGACGAGGGGCGGAGGACAGACAGGTGGACGGCAGGTGCTCCAGCAGGTTCTCCGACAGGTGCAGGTGCCTACCACACAATCACATCAAATACTAAGTCACTCCCCCTTCAGAGCACTATCACAACACAACCACTCATGAAACTCCCGCGCGTCACGTCAGCTTTGAGGAGGGTTTGAATAGGGTCCAGCAGAGATCACTAGATTACTCAGACACGCCTGGATGGTTGCCGGTTGTGTCCTCTGCTCTTACTTGAGGTTTTGTATTGTATTATATTGGTTGTTTGTTGTGTTTGTTCGTCTCCCGCTCGGACCAGGGACACGACGTCACGTTCAACTGTTTTATTATGTTTCATGTGTTTGACTCAGAAAAAAACAAACGTTAAACTGTAAAACTGTTGTTGTTTTAACATCGGCCGAGGACCAGACTCCAAAATAAATCTGTGCTTCAACTACAAAACCTCCAGAAGAAATCAGGATAAATAATAATAATGAATAATAAATAATAAATAATGAAATAATGAATAATAAATAATAAATAATAATAATTCAATGTTCGTGAAGTGAAAGTGTTTGAGTCGATCATTTTGGCAGGTGAACAGGAAATGAACTAAAAACATGAACCACAACAACTACAAAACACACAGACGCAGTAAAGTACTGCAGTACTACAGACGCAGTAAAGTACTGCAGTACTACAGACGCAGTAAAGTAGTGCAGGACTACACACACTGAAAGTACTGCAGTAACTACAGACGCAGTAAGTAGCAGTACTACAGACGCAGTAAAGTACTGTACTACAGACGCAGTAAAGTACTACACACACGTAAAGTACTGCAGTACTACAGACCAGTAAAGTAGTGCAGGACTACACACACTGTAAAGTACTGCAGTACTACAGACGCAGTAAAGTAGTGCAGGATACAGACGTAAAGTAGCAGGACTACAGACGCAGTAAAGTACTGCAGGACTACACACACTGTAAAGTACTGCAGTACTACAGACGCAGTAAAGTAGTGCAGGACTACAGACGCAGTAAAGTACTGCAGGACTACACACACTGTAAAGTACTGCAGTACTACAGACGCAGTAAAGTAGTGCAGGACTACAGACGCAGTAAAGTACTGCAGGACTACACACACTGTAAAGTACTGCAGTACTACAGACGCACTAAAGTAGTGCAGGACTACAGACGCAGTAAAGTACTGCAGGACTACAGATGCAGTAAAGTACTGCAGTACTACAGATGCAGTAAAGTACTGCAGTACTACAGACACAGTAAAGTAGTGCAGGACTACAGACGCAGTAAAGTACTGCAGGACTACAGACACAGTAAAGTACTGCAGTACTACAGACGCAGTAAAGTACTGCAGTACTACAGACGCAATAAAGTACTGCAGGACTACAGACGCAGTAAAGTACTGCAGTACTACAGACGCAGTAAAGTACTGCAGTACTACAGACGCAGTAAAGTACTGGAGTACTACAGACGCAGTAAAGTACTGCAGTACTACAGACACAGTAAAGTACTGCAGTACTACAGACGCAGTAAAGTACTGCAGTACTACAGACGCAGTAAAGTACTGCAGTACTACAGACGCAGTAAAGTACTGCAGTACTACAGACGCAGTAAAGTACTGGAGTAATACAGACGCAGTAAAGTACTGCAGTACTACAGATGCAGTAAAGTACTGCAGTACTACAGACGCAGTAAAGTAGTGAAATTGTCATTTAAACCAAAGCTCCAAACATAATAAAAACACTTCATACTTAAAAGTGCCTCTTGGATTCTGTCTCAGAGTCTTTTCTCTGAGTTCCTCTGAGTTCTTTTGAGTTCTTTTGAGTTCTTTTGAGTTCTTCTGAGTTCTTTTGAGTTCTTTTGAGTTCTTTTGAGTTCTTTTGAGTTCTTTTGAGTTCTTCTGAGTTCTTTTGAGTTCTTCTAAGTTCTTCTACGTTTCGTTGTCAGAGGAAAAGGGGCGTGTCCATGCGCGTCACGAGGAAACGTCCTCCGACCTTTTAGTGGGATGGATAAACGAACGCACCACTAGTACGTGTTTTGTTTTGTTTTTGTAGTGCTACAAAATGACCAAATAAAAACTACTAAATGTTTTGCTACTGGTTGTCGGTTCTATTCCCTGTTCTTTATGCGATGTTTTGGAGCTGGTTGTTGGTTCTATTCCCTGTTCTTTATGTGATGTTCTGGAGCTGGTTGTCGGTTCTATTCCCTGTTCTTTATGTGATGTTTTGGGTTCTATTCCCTGTTCTTTATGTGATGTTTTGGAGCTGGTTGTTGGTTCTATTCCCTGTTCTTTATGTGATGTTCTGGAGCTGGTTGTCGGTTCTATTCCCTGTTCTTTATGTGATGTTTTGGGTTCTATTCCCTGTTCTTTATGTGATGTTTTGGGTTCTATTCCCTGTTCTTTATGTGATGTTCTGGAGCTGGTTGTCGGTTCTATTCCCTGTTCTTTATGTGATGTTTTGGGTTCTATTCCCTGTTCTTTATGTGATGTTTTGGAGCTGGTTGTCGGTTCTATTCCCTGTTCTTTATGTGATGTTTTGGGTTCTATTCCCTGTTCTTTATGTGATGTTTTGGGTACTATTCCCTGTTCTTTATGTGATGTTTTGGAGCTGGTTGTTGGTTCTATTCCCTGTTCTTTATGTGATGTTTTGGGTTCTATTCCCTGTTCTTTATGTGATGTTTTGGGTTCTATTCCCTGTTCTTTATGTGATGTTTTGGAGCTGGTTGTTGGTTCTATTCCCTGTTCTTTATGTGATGTTTTGGAGCTGGTTGTTGGGTTCTATTCCCTGTTCTTTAATGTGAGCTTGTGGTTCTAATTCCCTGTTCTTTATGTGATATGTTTTGGAGCTGGTTGTTGGTTCTATTCCCTGTTCTTTATGTGATGTTTTGGGTTCTATTCCCTGTTCTTTATGTGATGTTTTGGAGCTGGTTGTCGGTTCTATTCCCTGTTCTTTATGTGATGTTTTGGGTTCTATTCCCTCTCTTACTTGAGCCCCGAGCTCCAGAAGTTCCCGAGCACGGACACGGTGATGAAGGTGTGGGGGTGGATCTCTCGGAGCAGGTTTCCCTCCAGCTGCAGGAGTTTGAGCGACGCGAGGCCGGAGAAGGAGTACGGCTCGATGAAGGAGATGAGGTTATGATCCAGGTGCAACCGGACCAGACCCACCAGACCCTCGAACAGACCCGGACGCACGGACGTCAGCTTGTTATAACTCAGCTTCAAGATCTGGAAGAGACAGGAAACACTTCAGACTTATGTCCACGTATAAAGACATGTTTTTAAAGAAGCACTTTTTCTGATGTCTCGTACTTTGTTTGTTTTTTTTTTTTTTTGCATTTATTCAATTGCAGGTGTTTTTACTGATCAAAAAAAAAACAAAAAAAAATAAAAAAAAAAACTTTAAAAACATGAGTGACTTGAGTGTTTTTATTATATATTTATACTTCATTAATGACACTGGTCCAGTCCTGGTTTAATCATGGTCCAGTTCTGGTTTAGTCTTGGTTTAGTCCTAGTGTAGTCCTGGTTTAGTCCTGGTTTAGTCCCGGTTTAGTCCCGGTTTAGTCCTTTAGGTTTTAGTCCTGGTTCAGTCCTAGTTTAGTCCTGGTTTAGTCCTGGTTTAGTCCTGTTTTAGTCCTTTTAGTCCCGGTTTAGTCCCAGTCCTGGTTTAGTCCTGGTTTAGTCCTGGTTTAGTCCTGGTTTAGTCCTGGTTTAGTCCTGGTTTCCTGGTTTAGTCCTGGTTTAGTCCTGGTTTAGTCCTGGTTTAGTCCTGGTTCCTGGTTTAGTCCTGGTTTAGTCCTGGTTTAGTCCTGGTTTAGTCCTGGTTTAGTGTGGTTTAGTCCCTGGTTTAGTCCTGGTTTAGTCCTGGTTTAGTCCTGGTTCAGTCAGTCCTGGTTTAGTCCTGGTTTAGTCCTGGTTTAGACCTGGTTAGTCCTGGTTCAGTCCTGGTTTAGTCCTGGTTTAGTCCTGGTTTAGTCCTGGTTTAGTCCTGGTTTCAGTCCTGGTTTAGTCCTGGTTTAGTCCTGGTTTAGTCCTGGTTTAGTCCTGGTTTCCTGTTTAGTCCTCCTGGTTTAGGTTTAGTCCTGGTTTAGTCCTGGTTTTAGTCCTGGTTTAGTCCTGGTTTAGTCCTGGTTTAGTCCTGGTTTAGTCCAGTCCTGGTTTAGTCCTGGTTTAGTCCTGGTTTCAGTCCTGGTTTAGTCCTGGTTTAGTCCTGGTTTAGTCCTGGTTTAGTCCTGGTTTAGTCCCTGGTTTAGTCCTGGTTTAGTCCTGGTTTCCAGTCCTGGTTTAGTCCTGGTTTAGTCCTGGTTTAGTCCTGGTTTAGTCCTTTTTTTCTTCCGTTTCGTTTCGTGTCGTGTAAATAAAAACCTGCAGCGCTCGGAGGCCGTAGAACGCGCCGCTCTGGACCGTCTCGATGTCGTTGCCGTGGAGCATCAGCATCTCCAGTTGCCGCAGCGACCTGACCTCTGACCCCTCCACCTCCGTCAGGCTGTTGTACCTGAAACACACGAGAATAAAAACAAAACCCCAAAAAAAACACATCTTATGATCGGTCGAAACGTCACAACAGCGGAACAAGAATCTCGGACATTTTCCCTCCAGAGACGCGCGAAAATCCGTTTATCATTCGTTGATTTGTTTTTCAAAATAAAATCAAAAATAAGAAAACGAAAAAACAACAATTTTCTTCATTATTTGTCTCCAAAACCAAAATGAAAAAAGCAGATAAAGATTTTGTTTTTTATCAGTTTTCGATTTTGTGTTTAAATGAAAAATGGAAAAAACAGATAACAGGTCCGGGACCAGACTGGGACCAGACTGGGACCAGACCGGGACCACACCGGGACCAGAGTAGGACCAGACCGGGACCACACCGGGATCAGGGTGGGACCAGAGCGGGACCAGACTGGAACCAGATCAGGACCAGATCAGGACCAGAGCGGGACCAGACCGGGACCACACCGGGATCAGGGTGGGACCAGAGCGGGACCAGACCGGGACCACACCAGGACCAGAGTGGGACCAGAGCGGGACCAGACTGGAACCAGAGCGGGACCAGACGGGACCAGGGATGGGACAGGGTGGGACCAGGGCGGGACCAGACCGGGACCACACCAGGACCAGAGTGGGACCAGAGCGGGACCAGACCGACGAGACCAGGGGGACCAGGGTGGACCAGAGCGGGACCAGACGGGACCAGACCGGGGACCAGACCGGGACCAGGACCAGACGGGACCAGACGGGACCAGGGACCAGACCGGACCAGACCAGACCAGACGGCCAGACGGGACAGAGGGACGGGACCAGTGGGACCAGACCAGGACCAGGGAGTGGGACCAGGGACCAGAGGACTCAGGGACCAGTGGGACCAGAGGGGACCAGACTGGGACCAGACCGGGACCAGAACGGGACCAGAGGGGATCAGAGGGGACCAGAGCGGGACCAGTGGGACCACACTGGGACCAGAGTGGGACCAAAGTGGACTCCGAGCCTTGACTCCAACCCTGCTGTGGGCTCTGAGCCTCCGGTCTGGTCCTGGTCTGGTCCTGGTCTGGTCCTGGTCTCAGTCCCACAGTCAAATGTTTCCTTTTTGGTTCTTCCTGTGGATCAATCCTGCCCATCACCTTCACCTTTCACTATTTTTCAATTCCGTTGGGAAGAGAAACAGTTTGAACAGAGGTTTGAGTCACACACATCTGATTCACTTTTGCATTTATGGAGTTTGTAAATTTCCGAAGCCCGTTTCTTGAGTCGTTTTCCGCTGTTAGGATCCAACAACCACAACAACTACGATGTCCGAATCCCAAAAAACTAAAATATGACAATATCAGAACCAGAAACAAAAGTGATATGGTTCAAAAGACTTGAAAAGATCGACTTTGACAACAGACACGTCCCACTGGGAAAACAAACATGGAGGTTTGACGCTCACTTTTTCGGAAAATCCTTCCCAGTTTGGATTGTGCAATGATTGAAAGTCTGAAATTCAGGATGCTTGTGTAAATCGTTAATATCTACAAAACTAAAACAGCGCAAATGAAACTTATTGCAGCAGAAACGATTTTTTGTTTGGTTTGAGTTGGAGGTTGTTGAGTCTCGGGCTTTAAATGGAAAGATCTGAGCTGACCTTTGACCTTTGACCCTGACCGTGTAATGCTTCGTGAACTTTTCCGTCGGCGCTCGGCTCGTTCACGTTCCAGGCCTCAGTCTGGTCCTCAGATGTGGCGCGGTTCCTTTTATAAACCAGTTTCCTCGTCTCTGTGCATCGTTTACTGGACGGGGCTCGGCCGAGGACAAACTGTGTCGTAAATCTCATGAATCTCATTCGCTGCGGAGGCCGGAGCAAAGGATGATGGGAGAGAAACCGCGACAGAGGAAACCGTGTGTCGTTCGTTCATTCATTTTTCAATATAAAACCAAAAATAAGAAAATGATAAAACAACAGTTTTCTTCGTTATTTTTCTCCAAAACCAAAATGAAAAAAACAGATAATGATTAGTTTTTCAGTTTTTGATTTTGTGTTTAAATGAAAAATGGAAAAAACAGATAACGACCGTTTATGTGACTTCTGTGACTGTGATGCCGGACTGAACCAGGACTGATCCAGGTCCGGGACCAGAGCGGGACCAGGGCGAGACTGAGACCAGACCGGGACCAGAGCAGGACTGAGACCGAGACTAGACCGAGACCAGGCCAGGACCAGACCAGGA